CCCCAGGACACCAGCCCCGACCCGATGGGCTACCGACGGGGGCATTCGCGGACGGGATCGGATGAAGAGGGGGGGGTGGTTGGAGACGGCAAGGGGGGCGGCCCGGACGCCGCTGCGAACGGAGGGGCAAGTGGGGCGGAAGACAGCGACTCGTCGAGGGGGCCGACCAGGCCGAAGAGGAGGAGGAGGCAGCCGTGGCTCCGGGGGCTATTCGCTGTTTTCCTGGTCGTGGAGGCGTTGGTGCTGTACGCCGTGAACGAGTACAGCCCGGTGTACGACTTCGAAGTCTTGTCGGTCACGACCACTGCCGACGACGGCACGACCATGGTGCGTTTGCTTTTTTGTTTTTTCCGCGGGGGAGGGGGAGGAGACCGGGAATTCTGTGTGTGTGTGTGTGCGTGTGCGTTTTCTTTTTGAGCAGCATTGCCGGCTGACCAATGGAAAGACGCCAGCCTTATTATAGCAGCCGAACAAGCTGCCTACATGTAGCCAAAATAGGTGTGTGTGTGTGTGTGTGTGTGTTTCTTTTGATAGCATCGACCGCGCTAACCGGCTGGTCACTGAAACTGCTCGAGTGCCAGCGGGTACATTTCTGGTCCCTGGAAATACGTTGTGATGTTTCATTGCCGTAAAAAGAATTCTGGTTTCTTAGACTTTACCTGCTGACCCTCTCCACGTTTGGTACTTCTTGATACACATTGTGGTGCTGTGGTGCTGTAGTAGGAAAGCACTTTGGGGGGGGGGTATCCTGTGCACTTTGTCTTATGTGGCATCCTCCTGCCGGGTGCGTTGACGGAACGCTAATGCTCGCACCCAGCACCAAAAAGATCATGCTCACTGCTCACTTCCTGTTTGTATCCGCCCGCGTTTTGTTGGAAGACCTGTTTGACTCCCCAACGGCGGAGATTTTCACCGTCATTGCCGTCACCAACCTCTATCGCTTCGTCACGTTTATGTGTTCTGCTGTCGATCTTGCTCCTTCTCCTCTGCTGCTGCCGCTGGCTGGTGCTACTGGTGCTGCTGCCGGTGGTACTGGGGAAAAAGGTGATAGGCGACAACCCTGACCTGTCTTTTCCGCTGTCACTCGCGGGGGAGAAGTGCGGGGTATCGGACATGGCGGCGTGCGTGACGGAGGAGCCTACTGCTGCAGCGCTGTCGACGGTGTGCTGCACGGAGCTGCTGGACCCGGACAGCGCGGGGCCCGACGAGTTGATATCTTCCATAGTGGCGTTCTGCTTCGTTGTCGTTATTCCGGGTGAGCTGAGGAAACACTGAGAGGTCAGACGTGGGAGAGAGAGCATGGGGGGGGGGGGNGGGGGGGGGGGGGGGGGGGGGGGGGGGGGGGGGGAGGGGGGCGTGCTTTTCATGTTCTGCACGCCGTAGCTGTCAGACCATGTTGACCACCTTCGTTGAGAGGATGGAGCACTTCTTCCCACAAGAACGTCTGTCTGGGGAGGGGATTTGGCCTTGTACATCATGGTGCCGGCGAAGCGC